CTTTTCAATTTAGATTTTTAGACAGTCGGTGTCAGAAGGCTTAGATATTAAAAAAAAAGGAAAAAATACACACAAAAAGAAAGGATTCAATGGTGGCATTAAGCCATTCCTTCTAATTTCATGTGGGTCCTTCATGTTTTCAACATCCACATTTGTATGTGCATGTGAGTATTTAAGGTGGCTTTTTGATTTCCTTCAAATGCAAAACTTCTAAGTGCAAACAGAAATAGTGGTTTTAAAATGCTGACCTAGTCCTTTCCTGCTACAGGTAACCACAGTAGATTTCCTATGATTTCTAATGGTCACAGACACTCCAGGTTAGAAGAGTGGAACATCAGAGCTCTTTCTCCACTGGTGTAGCTGTGTTAGATGCAAAGGTTCCCTGAAAGTGTCTGTTCCAGCATGTGTAGTTTAAACAGAATATATCTGAAAATCTGACTTTACGCAGTGTTACACAGTAAGTGCTCTTCTACTTGTCTGAGAAGCAAGCAAACTTGTCTGAGTTCAGGTTTGGGAGATGTTTTGCCAAGGCTTGTATCACCCAGTGCATGAAGATCTTGGAGAGAACATTCCCTTCTCTTCTTTCCGTCTTTTATTAAAATTTTTCAGCTTGTGGTGCCTGGGCCACCTCTAGCCTGTATAAGATAACCACTGACACCCAATCCTGGCAGGGGCTGGGCAAAGAGCTAGTTGCTCTCCTCAATTTTCATCAAGTCCTCAGATTTCCATTTTGCTAATGATGCACTGAAGCATCACAACTATAGCAATTCCAAGCTGCTCCCTGCACGACGAACTACATACAGTCTTTCTAGAAATACTTTGCTCTCTTCCTCATGTTATCACATCTTTTGGGGACAGAGCGGGTTCACCTGTGGGACTCACACAAGTCCATGTCAGAAGGGGAATAAAGGTCACAGCTGCAAGCAAAGCAGGGCTTTGATGGTGCAGGCCACCTGCAATTGGAACATAAACAGCAGCTGCAAGTGCTCCAGAATATTCCACTGAGTCCTCCAAAGTTTTAATAATCAAGGTGATTCAGTCTGATTTTGTTACTCGTTTGCAGAGGTTCTTGCATTTCGGGAGTAAATGAAATTTATGAATTCAAGAGAAGGGATGAATTTTCAGAAGCCTTCTTTTACAAAACCAAGTTTTTGTAAACTCCAGGCCTATCCACACATCCTCCTATAGACAGAGATCCTATGAAAACGTTCAATTGCAAACATGTTCCCATTCATTTTTAGTTAAGCATCACCAAGCACAGTAATTAGACGTAGGCAAATTCAGGATGAAAAGCAGATGGAAATTCCTAGCGGAGCCTTGCTTGTTACATCAACATCAGATGGACATATAGCTCCCCTGGCTGCCAGCCCTCATGACAACAAATTGCTTATACTTGTGCCCTGTGGGACAAGGATCCAGAAAACATGGGCACATATGGAGGTCTTGCACACACAGTATTTGGGTTTGACCCTCCTAGTAACAAATGGGTAATTTGTGAAAGCAACAGGACATTAGTGCTACATGGGTCTTAATAAATAAGGAGCCCTGCATTATTGTACATAGGTGCATTAACACAGTAATTAATCATTCCCTCCTGGCTCCTTTATAACATTCTTCGCAGATACTTTATCCAGGGAGCAGCATTCCCTCTAGGTAATGTTCTGCTTTACATATATATATCTTCAGAAAAAAAACTCCTGGGCGTGATTATGTGCTAGGAAAAGAAACATATAAATCCCAGGTTGTCAGAGAAACTTGTTTTTAAAACAAAAAGATAATTCTGCCACTTCTCAGGCAGTATCCAATTAAAATAAGATGCAAGTACAGGAGGATAACTGCTTTGGTGTGTCAGCAGCAGGATGGACAGAGCCCTGAGTTATTTAGGGAGAGATGCTGCTTCTTTTTGCTCACCATTCTCCAACACAATCTAGCACAGTTATCTTACTATGTCTATTTAATTAATAGGTAGGCAAAATTTCCATGTGATTTGACAGTGATAGTGAGAGACCTGTAATGTTAGTACTTGGCCCAGCAATAAGAAAGTACAAGTTAAATTTAGCAAATCATAACTTTTCAATTATTCAAAACAACGCACACACAGAGAAATGAAAGTAGTAAAGCATGTATTCTATCAATGATTCCATTATCCTCTCCCCATAAAGAGAAATGGCTCAATGGAGGATAAAAGCAAATTTTAGATTGATTCTATTCTTGATCATAGCCAAAAGACTGCTATATCTAGTGCCAAGAAATTGGATCGAGGTTCATAGAAATCCCAAAAATTAGATAGAAAAGACTTAAAAGAACATGTAGTCCATCTCCAGGGGACCTGTACTTTTTCTTGCCAACAAGAACTTCAAGCAGAAATATGAATTTATTTAACCCAATAGTTCAAGACAGTTCCTTACCACGTATTACACTGTAGGAATAATGTAAATGTGCATATAACATCGCAGTACACTGTCAATGTGAACTAAGATAGCTTAGGATTTTCTCCCCTCCAAGTACCTTTTAGCACAAGAACCAAAACTACGAGACCTGGTGCATTAGATAAAGCAATATGGATAATTTAGAGCACCACTATTTCAAACTTCCTACCCTTAAGGTCACTGTTACACTGAGAGCTGCGTTCTTCAGGGGGATGAGCTGTGCACTACAGAGCCTGCCAATTAATGTAGTAAGAGAAATCACCAGAAGGAATAAGCCAAATTAAACAAATTATAATGGCAAACAGAAGTAACATTTGTTAAATACAATATTACATATAGTTCTATTCTATATAAAATATATGTTCTATATACCATGTATATTATACATAAAGGGTTTTTTATATAATACATATGTATATATTCTGTCTTCAGACTACCATTTGACCTCAGTTTCTCATCTACTCTGTATCTTTCCTAAGGTTATAAACTACTGTTAATTTCGACAAGTTTGCATAAACTGGAGTGTATTTTTCTCCATGTAAAGGATGAGACATTAATTTTTTGGGCAAACTGTCTTCAAATTGCATTTGGATAGACAAAACTTGTCTTTTGGATTTGAACTATTGTTTCATTCTGTTGGCAGACCATGGAAGATAGAAAGACAACTGTGTAAAGTATTACATCTTAATAACATAGCAAAGCCTGCAAAAGAAATAAAATTCACTGATTCCATTGTCCTTGCCCTTTTGCCCCCAAATGGGAACATAATTTCTTTCAGAGATTTCATATTCTACTTCTTTCATGTCTTTGTTGTGAAGCTCTATTGATTTTTTGCCACCTTCTCCATATGATGTTAAGCAGCTTTTAGAATAACATACAGCAATTTAGGGCAGTAAGTGAAAAAAATACATCCAGGAGATTTTTCAATAGAGAGACTATAGTTACCCAAGACACAAGCCATCTTGTATACTGGAACTTACCAAAAAATGCTTTGTGACTTTTATGCCAGCCTGGCTCTGTGTGTAACTTTAAGCTTGTCACTATTTCCAGTTTAAATTGACTGTATTTTTTCTTTGTATATTTGTGAATAATTTGCCTGTTGGACTATAGAAACAGCTTCCAAGGTGTCTCAATATTCCTTTACTTATTTAATATGGACTGGCAAGCCTGAATTAATGGGACGTAACATCATGTTTAAGTGATGTCTTGGAGCAGGATTCCAACTATAGCAGCAACACCTGGAGAGTCAGGACAGCAAATGTATCTCCACTTTACAGAGTGAGGTCTATTCAAGAGAGTGAAATTTGTCACTCTGCAGTCTAGCAAAACATTCTAAGTGTCCCTGCCACCAGAACTAAGTGATAAATTGGCTTAAGGGGTCATATGTATCTTCTCCTTGTGTACTTGGAATCACAGAGTACAAATCCCAGCGAGTGGATGAACACCGTGTCCATGCAGTCTCCTTAAATATCTAAGCATAAAGGTTATTCTGTGATCACTGGGCAATAGGGCTAAAATTACGACGAAGCTGTTTGTTATTGCCCTTCCCCTTTTCTTCCCTGACTCATTTGAGGTTATGGACTCATCTTGGCAGAGTACATTAAAATAAAAGGGTATATAACTAAGTAATCAGTCCTGGGAGCACTTTCCTTCCTGGATTCTGAATTTGAAATATCTGCTGTGCAAGCATATGTTTATAGAGAGCTGCAAGGAGGAGTTAATGTCCATATTCACTCCAAAAAACATTATGTAGTTGCATGAAAAAAATGAATTTGCAGAGCTCTAGAGAGCGCAAGTATATTACTCCTAGTAAAAATAAAACTCATTGAGCAGCGGACTCGAGGCCAGCACATATATTTGTGCTAAGAATATCACTTTAACTGCACACAAGCTCTGCATGTGATGTCATACTGAACATTCATGGGTTTCTTCCAGAACAGGGGTCAAATGCTTCCATAAGGTATTTATTAAAGTAATTTATTGATTTATTTGAGGCAGAATTAGCATCTTGTAGAGTGGAAGCCTGATTAATCCATCCTCAAGTTCTTTAGTGTCTTGGAACTCAAAATGCAAAGGAAGAGAAAGATGGGGCACAGCTCATACTCTGCTGATACTTGTGACTGTTGAGTTATGGACAACACTGGTATATTATAGACCACAGGGATCAGAGTTACCCACATACTTATCCTGGGAAATTTAAAAGCAGAATGAAAACCTCAGTGCACTGTTTGACAATGTTCCTTGAACTGGAGCTTGTGCTTTTCTCATTTACTTGAAATTTGAAAGAAGATGATAGAAGTTAATGGAGTTTCATTATGGTAAAGCAACGTAAAATGAATCATCCTCCTTGTTTTAACATCTGTGAACACGGTCTTCCTCTTCCTCGCAAATGAAACATATGCAATTCTGCTCAATTTCAATGCTGTTTGGCATCTGTGCCTATATTGCCAGGGACATTCAGAACCATTTACATTAACAGCAAATATTATTTTTACTCTAAGGAAGAGAACATATCCTTATTGATATTCAGCAAGTGGAGCGTTGTTGCAACCAAGATATAATTTACTCACTTGTCTGACTGGATTACATTACTCCATGCATTTTGTAGTTTCATCTGTGAAAAATCGAACTTTAGTTCTACTGCTGTCATTTCCCATAATTCTTTTAAAACAATCTGTGGCACAAGGAGAAAAAATAGCTCCAATAGAAACTGCTTCTGGGGATGGCATTTGAAAGCACATTATTTAGAGTTAATGAATTAGAGTAAGAAGTTTGTCATATTCTTTACATGAGCTGTGACTCAGACCTGGTATGCAAGTATTTCTTCCATTTGTGTACTTTGTAAAGGCCACGACTTCCTTTGTTCCCTGGGAACCCTGCAGTGAAAGCATTTGTCTTTGGAAGCACATGGCTTTGTTAGGCTGCATGAGTAATATTTGCAGTTGTTCTCCTCAACCTTTCAGAACCAGCGATGCACCCGCCCGCTGTCGTCCCTCATCAGGGCTCCCTTAACTCAGTGCTGCAGCCACCTGAGCAGGACAGCAGCTCAGCAATCCACAGGCAAATCCAGAGGAGTTCGGCCAATGCAACGATGGGAGGACTGAGCCATTACTTATTTATAAAATTATCAATTAGAATGCGACTGCAGGAAAAATGAAAAGTCCCCAAAATGGAAGATCAGGGATGCTCTTTCAACTGTAGTTTCTGCCCCTTTACTTCCTCTGATGTCAATTTTGAAACTCCCTTTGATGAAAAGCAGATCAAAATCCAAAACCATATTTAGCTTCAAAAGATGATTATAGGCTCTCCTACACAAAACTAACTTAAAGTTTTATCTCCTGGGTTTATCACACACAGCCTAATTTTTCTTCTACCTCTTGCTTTTACACTACCACATGGATCATGCATTCCTTCTTGGTAACTACCTTTTGCATGTTACCCAAGCCAGACATTACTCTTGATAAATGACTATTTAAATTTTAACTGCCTCTGCTGCGTTTTAAAGTATAAACTGTAACTGGATGTTTTATATACATACCAGAGAAATATTTTTTTTCTCACAGCCACAGTGAAAAGTTTTGTTGAAAATATAAAGAAATTGAACGCAATCCAAATAAAGCATTTTTTAAAGTTGAACTCAACCATGTAAATTTTTGATGCCAAATGAGAATCAAAAATCAGAGGCTGCAAGTAGGGAACTATAATGGAAACCATTTTTCCAGTCCTACCTACACCTTTTGCTGATGTTCATGAATCCTATTATCACTCATGTAATAATGATAGAGTAATCATAATTATTTCTGTATCAGTCCCAAAAAATTCCCTATATGATTTCATCTGATGGTAAAATGTAAATCATTATACTAAATAGATACTATTTGTCTGCTTACATAGAAAAATGGACTCAATCTTCTTTCTCCCCACCCTATATAATTAAAAAAAAAATCAGAAACCAATTTTTAGCCAAGCATTCATCAGAGTACATATTGTTAACAGGTGTTGTGTATTACATTTCCCATGCACACAGTGTTGGAATGTAAAACTGTAATACTGCTCCCAGGAACAAGTAGCATAATTAAAATTCTTTGTGAGTTTGATTTACTGGGTATTTTCTTCCTTTCAAATAACTACATTGTAAACAAGAGCCAATTTCTTAGATTTGATCTATGGGTTGTACAGCTTATACTTCAGGTTCAAAATGGTGATTTAGACAATAACACATAACAGCTGAATAGTTATTTATAATGGCACAGCACCTGCAGCAGATTGTCAGCTGAAAAGGCAAATCTAAATGCTTTCAAATTCTCTTGTGTATTATAATAGCAGTAGTAGTGGCCACTATAGATACAATAGTTAGGCATGTAATGTAACTTTTGTTTCTGATTGCTTGCCATTTTCTCAATTTTATTCCTTTAAGACTGAAAATGTTCATACTTCGTGTCAGTCCATATGCATTTTAAGGAGTTCAGGCACAATTTAGCTTTTTGTTAATTATGGGAGTGTGTCAATGAAATTAAATATTAAATAGAACATCAAACTCTTTTCTCATAATTTTAAGATTGTCCACATTTCCTGGACTGTTATACATGCATAATTAACACAACTTCAGCAATTTTTTTCATCTTGATTAATGCCGCTAAGCACCCTGGAAAAATTGGATCTGAAATTTTACAACTATAAAGACGTTTTTCTTACCTCAATATGTACCAGGATTTTCCTATGAGCCTTTTAGCAGCAGCTCTCATTTAAAATTCTGAAGTTATGCACATGCAGTTTCCTTTTAAATTTGGTTCCCTCCTGGACTCAAAACCAGCATTGATCATTTGTGTGATGATGTGATAATTCTGCAGTGATCTGAAACACATGTTAGGAAGAAATGTAAAAGCTTGTTGCAGCAGACCCAGGCCCATACACAAACTGTCAAGGCACTGATGTAACCTCCACCCACAACATAAAGTCCATTTAGATGCACCGTCCACCAAGCAACGTTCAGATTTCCACCAGAAGGAACAGCTGGTATGGGAATGAGCAAGGACCATTCCTAAAAGGCAAGCACTCTAAACCCATTAGAATTTTCCAGGCGAGATGGAATTTTAGCATCTCTTGTCTATTAAACATCTATAGAAGTACCTATTTACCTTCTGAGTGTTGGGAGGCATAAGATGGGCAATGTACTTTGTGATCTTTAGTGTCAAGGTGGCAGGCAGTCTGAGTACAATGGTACATTTCTACCAGAACAACCAAAGTCATATTAGCTTCTAGTAACAATAAAAACATAAGCAGAAGTTGCATCTGTCTCCAGATGAAAGGAAAAATAGTTTCCAAGGAGCTAATTGCTTTAGAATACAAACAATAGAAAAAGAAAAGAAAGAAATTACTGGTCTGTAATGGAGATAGCTTTAACAGAGGCTAGAAATTTGTGATGAGATGATGCCATTGCCAATTAGCATGAGTACTTTGTTTTATAACATCCATTTATTCACTGTATGACCTGTTTTAGTGTACACCTCAAAATCATCTTTGGAGTGCTTCCACTGGAGCCAAGGGAGTTACTGCAGGAATTAGCTTGGCCAGTGAAGTAATTCACATGCAATAGAAATAGTTACAGAAACTTAGTCAGAAAAGAGTAATAGAGAGATACTCATTCATGCTATAAATCTTCTTGTCTTTGTGCTAATGTTATTTATCCACTTGAGATAGGGAGGACGTTACATAATGCATGCATACTGTGCAATATGGGAAAGAGATTTGTAACGTAAACTGTCCATTAGTAATGCAAAGCAACTTATTTTCATCTGCTAGATCATTACTGCAAATCTTTCTCCTCAGTTTGGACATGTTATAAATCTTCATGAAGTCCACATTTGTTCTCTTTATCTTTTACTTCCATTTGATTCACTCTGCTTCAAATGTATGTAAACACACTGTAAGACCACCGAGCTTTATGTAATTTTAGTAGGGCAATGCTTCCACTCCTAGGAAGATCTCAGTCTACTGGCCTAGGTGGGAGAGAGTCTGACATTCCCTGAGCATCCCTCACTGCACGGTGCCAGTACCACCATAAGACACAATAAATTTAAAGGAGTTGAAGTACAGTTTGAGAAAGCCCAGCAGAGCTGTGGTTGCAGAACAGTGGCCCTATGGCCACCCACAAGTAGGGTGTCAGGAGACAAGGTCTAACAGCTCCTCCAGCATCCCCATCCCCCGTGTCCCTCTGGAGCAGACTGCACTTCTCCAGTGCATTGGCAGCAACATGATAAAGCAGCTTTTGGACATTTGCAGGACAGCTGACTCAGGGGCTGACTCACATCCCCTTCAGCCTCCCATCCTTCAGCTGCATGAACTTCTTGGCATTGGCTCTGTAAACATAACAGCCAATGCTCACTGACAGCACATCCGGCCCTGTGCCAGCTGGTGACACCAGACCAAACGTGACCACAGCCACCAGGCCCCAGAACTGACATCTCAAACAAGTTGCCACGTGGTCAGTTTGGTTCACCTGGATTTATTTCATATGGTCACAGTATTTCACATACTCTCCATTTGCCAATAAAGGTGCAATGAAAGACGCAGTAAGTTGCTACTCATTCTGGAATGACCTAGGGTTTGGTGAGAACTGTTGGGATTGTTATTAACCCCTGCCTTCATTGCCTACACAGTACAGAGAGATGTACTTACTTATCTGGGCTCCTCCAGCTGTTTCTCGTCCATAACCCTGTCTCCCCTTAGCACAGCAGCATCTACATTGTTGCACCCAACTCATTCTTTAGAAGTGCAGTTGTATGGCAAGGGAATAGCATTGCATTCCTATGCCAGGATTATTTGCATACTCTGTATTATTCCAACTACATAAGATAAAACATTGAAAGAAATACTTGGGCTTTTGTAAGACACCTGTCCTATTCCACTTTCCATTGAAGACCTGCAGAAACAGCCACAGCCACTGACAACTCTTCCAAGCTATTCTAGTTTCTCTGTAGTTTATTGTTGCCTTTATGTAGGTGTTTCTGTAGCTTCTATCCCCAAACATTCAAAGCAGGTGCACGAGACACAAGCTTGCTGCTCCACTTGGCTCTTCAGCTCACTTGGATGCTCTGGTGATGTCTGTGTCTGGTGTCTCATTGTCACCCACAGATCTTAAAGCTTAATTTCACTGAATATTCAAAGCTGAACCTACTGGCACCTCAAGACAGGTGACATTTGTATATCATTGGTGTAAAGAAAGTTGGAACAAAATCAATCCAATGCACACAGGTTGGTTATGGCAAAATAATCTTAAAAATGAAAATAAGGACTTTCATTTCCAGCTCTTAACTTCACCTCTCACTCATTTTTGTGGTTTTGGTCAAGCCACTAACAGTTTTTAATCATGATTTCAATACAAAAATAGACACCCAAGATTTTCAAAAGCATTAAGGCATTAATGTAACTTAGACCTCAGAGTGTTTTTAAAATCACCGAAGGTGTGTATCTGAATCTTCCAAGCAAATTTAAATTCTCTTTCAGGATTTGTCTCCACTTCCTTCAAACTCTTGATTTCATTATGTTATAATTGCATACACTTTCTAGGTATCTTCTAAGTTCACAAGGATCTACTAAAAATTATTTCATTAATATTTATAAACTACAAGTAAAGCTGTAAAGCTTTTTTCCTACAATAAGAATTATGCTTTTAGCATTGCATATATATATTTGTAGGAGGTATTTATTGGATTTAATAATCACTACTCTCTAGGAAGCCAGCAAAAATTAAGATTTAGCTGACATTCCTTTATCCAGGAAATCCTGATTAGTGGAATCTTATATAAGAAATACAGAAAAGTAATGCAGTTTTGCATTCTCTTTAGGAATAGGCTCTTGGGATCTGGATTTTCCTTCTTTGGACAAACACCTCCAGGGAATCTCAACCCAGGAATTATAAACTTCTGCTTCTTCCTTTCATTCTCTTTCACGCCCAGAAACCATCTCTACTCTTTGAAGACTACCAAACAGCTGGCAAGGGAATGTCCTTTATTGTTAAATAGTACTTAGCTCTTTAAATAGTTCACTGACTAATAGTTACAGGTTAATAAGATACAAGCATTAAACACATTTTCTGTGTGCTCTTCACCGGAAACGAATTCCCAAACGCTTCCTACCCTACGTGAATACTGCAATTAGCAGGAAAACCAAAGCAGTGTCATTGGAACTCAGCTGACATTCCCTTGTTGCAGTTTGCAAGGGTTATAAAAGTTTGTGCATGTACTCCACCAGTGTTTGTGTGTTACAACACATTTTAAAATTAACCAGAGTTCTGTCTGTGGTGCAGTTCTGTTCACGCTGGCTTCTGGACAGGTTGCCTTGGGTCCACGAGTGCCTTAAACAGCAGGATCCTGCCTTGCTCCTTATTGCAAACACATGGACATGGAGCAGTCACTTTTTTAATGCTTTCCTAGTTATCAACACCACTCCTCTTTGGCAGGAGCAAGTGATACACCACAGCAGAACAGCCAGCAGCCATGACCAGTTGCCAAGCCTTCCATGTAGCTAACAAAAATGCAGGTTTTGGCTCCAGGCTCCAGAAGATTTTGAACCCGCCCCTTTGCATCTTCCCCCTCACTGTGGTAGGCTGGAAATGCCTTTCCTCTGCCACATCTACCAGGGAGATTTTGATGAAAGGTGACCTGTACTGTCTTGTATTTACATCAAAGTGGAAGAGTCATATTGACCTGATACCCCACACCATGTGCTGGCAATCACTGTGCCATGAATCCCCTATTTCATGTGATCATTACGAGCTTGACAAGCTACCTGACAACAAACTAAACACCAGATATTCCAATAGCCTTATTCACTGTATACAACTTAAAGCAATATTAGCCCATAGGTTGTTTTTGACTATTGGAGATAAATAGTTTGTTAGTGATAATCCACCGTATTTCAAACTATTTGGCAACAGGCGGAGAAACTCTTAAATGATGCTATAATTATAAAGCTGAGTGATTTCTTTATATTTATTTTAACAGTATGTATTTTAAGGTGGCCTCTGGGAGCAAAAAGATGTTTGTAGAGATAAAGCTGCAGGGAGCGATACATTCATGCCAACACGTGTAGTTGAACCACCAATTTTGTTTTATTAACTTAGTTTCTGGATTTGTTCCTGATATCTACAGCTGTATTATCCCCTCATAGACCTCTATGAGTGGGCGGAATGAGGTTGATTACAATTGATTTAGTAACCAAAGAGTAATTTTTTCCATTGTTTGTTCAGCACATTACTAAACATATGGCTTAATTACAGTTGCCTTGTGTTCTTTTCAGTCTGGTATTGCTTATTTTACTGAGACACTGATTTATGCAAAATATTAATTGAAATAGAAAACAGACTTACTACGAGAGCTGACATCCATGAAAACACTAGTTACTCACATTTTGCACCGAGCCCATTGGACTTCTCAGGGGAATCAGTGTTTACAGTTTAATTTGGAACTACACGGGCTCCCTCCCTCCAGAAACTCTGGTAGTGCATCCTGGAGCATGGGTCAAAAATTTCCCTTTCCCAGCAGCTGCAAAGGGAAATCCTCAGAGTTCTTCAGCCAAAGTCTCAAAAATGTGCTGAGGTAGCTGTTCCATTTCAGTGTGATTGCAATAATTGTATGCAAATGTCTCATCAAAAGTAATTCAACTTTATATAGCTATAAATAAACTACTATTCTGTTGTAATGTGTTTCCAGGCCATTAAGTACTATAATAAAGATGCATGGATTCTCTCAATAGATTAGATAATCAAAAAACCCACCCACCCCCCAAAAATCAAGCAACTATACGCTGAGAGATGCTGTTTTGTTTTTAGAGTCATCATTGTAATTAATCTG